TACCTCTGCCATTTAGTTAGCTGTGTGTTCCTGAGCAAGCATTTGACTGCTCTTTGACTTAGCTCCTCCATCTGTATAACAGGCACAATGACAACTCTAGCAATCTCCTGGAGTTGTGGGGACTGAGTGGCTTATGAGCAGAGCACCTGGCCTAGTACCCAGCACTCAGAAGACACAGCTCTTCTTTATTCCTCAATCATCTTGGTACCTTAGGCCCAGGGGGCCTAATTTATAAAACTCACTGTATCTATAACAGCCTAGATAAAGTATGTGTAGAAAAATCTGGCAATGAGACACCATGTACACATCTGTAGCTAAATGTCTCAGCTCTTCGGGGCCCTTCTAGGGATGTTTGATCTTAGCCTAAATTAACGTCTTGAGCTATTTCCAAAGGAAAGTCCTCCTATAGGGTGGGAGTATAACTCAATAGTGAAACCTTGGATTCATCCTAGTGAAGGGTAGAGAGTTCAGTGATATCTTTGTGGTTGTTGTTTTGTTGTTTTGATTGTAAGCTAGGACCTCCTGTAGACTAGGAAGACCATAAACTCATTTTTGTGTATATAAATATATTTAACTTTTAACATTTATTTTATTTTTAAATTTTAGTTTATGCGTGTACATATTTTTTCAGGCATGGAAACCCGTGCATCACATGCATGCCTAATGTCTACAAAGGAACGAAGAGGGTATCAGATTCCTTGTAACTGGAGCTACAGCAGGCAGTGAGCTGCCGCATGGGTGCTGGAACTAGAAACCCAGTTCTCCAGAAGAGCAACGGGTGCTCCCAACCTCTGGGCCATCTCTCCAGGCTCTTGTTGGTTTATATTGAGAATGACCTTGAACTTCTGATTCCCCTGCTTTCAGCTCCTGAGTTCTGGGATTGCAAGCCTACACTGTCACGCCCAGCTTATGTCACGCTGGCAGTGGAACCCAGGTTTTATGCCTGCTTGACATGTGTTCTACCAACTGAGCTACATTCCCAGCCTAGGTATCTGTGTGTAACTCAAGCCTAAAATGCTGCCTTCACGAGATACTTGCAGAACCATGCCCCCTTAAGGATTAATATGCCCATAATACTGGGAGCCTCTGCAAAACTTGTTTCCTTACCCTATCCCTCCTCGTCCTCAGTTACTTCCAATGCTCTTCTTCTGTGTTCTGTTTGTGTACAGAGCTACTTAGAGGTGACAAAGTAGAAAGGACAGGGATGCTCAAATATGGCAAATACAGTGTCACATGCATGCATGTCTCAGGTAAAAAACTGCAGAAATGGTGAGATCCCCAGGGTCGCAGATTTTAATCCCGAATATGCATCACAATAACTTGATGGGGCACATTACTGGGCCCATTTTGAAGAATCTGTGATTTCCTAGATCCCAGAGTGGAGTTCTCCGGTACTGTGGAGACCACACTCCAAGAGCACTGTTGGCAGGAACCTGGAAAATGTTGCTTGTTTATCAGTGGACCCCAGGATTAAGTGTGGAAATAGTTGCCCAAGATTTGTAAGCAAAGCAATGCCCAAGGGGCTCCATAGCCCGGGCCGGGTGAGTCACATCAAGTGGAACCATGCATGTTGAGAAGACGACTGAACTTCTTTCTGTCCCATGATAAGTCGTTATTGGGGGGGGAGGGTCGTTCTGCCCTGGTTCTCAAATGACTGGGGAAGAGGTCGGATGGCATCCAAAGAGAGCTACAGCCAGTTCCCCACCTGTATTTAATTACCGCTGAGACTGTGTGGGCGGAGACTTCGCATTCAGACGGCTCAGGAGTCTAACTCCGGGGAGGGCGAACCCGGAGTGAGGCTCACTAAGGCGCCAAGATCAACTGACCTCTAGCTATGCAGAATTTAGGTGCCTGTCGCGGCAGAGCCCAGGGATCTGAGTCAGCGAGGATGCAGCGACAAGACGCGACTTCCGCCTCTGGCGATAGGCAGTGGGGGGCGCACCAAGACAGCAGTTCGAGAGCCCTGCTTTGTCACCGTGGCAGCGAGGGGCGGAGGACGCAGGATGGGACTGCGAAGACTGAATGGGACACCCGACTGTCTCTCAGCAAAAAGGGACACTCGGGCGATTGTGAGGCTGCACCTGGTGCCGCTGTGGTGATGAACTGAAGGTACATGGACACCATAGAGAGCCAGCTTGTGTGCATACTCCTTTCCTGGCCCTCAGCGCTTGTTTTCTGGGCTGACATCACTTCTATGCCTTTCTAGCTGGTACAGCTGTGTCCCACCCTCGGTGGCCCGCGGTGGCGCGCTCTCCAATACTCACCAGTCTGGGCCAAGGAAACACAGTCCCTCCACGTCGCGGCGCCCTGCGGGCCATCTTGCAGTTCATCTGTTCTTTCTGTAGTGTCCGATCCTCTGAGTCTAACCCTAACAGCTGCAGCCTCCCTGCCAATTAGGGAAGGGTGGCCCTTGTCCAGATATTTCAATACTCAAAGCATCTTGATTGTCTGGGTGTTAGGGGATGCAATGTGGTCACGGGTTCTGGGGACGCAGGGCCAATGTCCGAACGAAAAAGCTTGCTTTTGGTAGCTCCTCGATATGAGTTTTAAAAAAATCGTTCGCTTTCCGCTCCTAGCTGTGTGTCCCTGAGCAAATTTTCTAATCCGAGATCCGATCCTGTTTCCCCTCTTCGTTAGCTGCACGGACTCAACTGGGGTGGGAGGGGACTTTATGAAAGTCAGCCTCCGGAAGTCTCAAAATCGAACAGAAGACCCTAGAGAAGTCCGGCTTCGCAGACTAGTTGGACTAGCTGGCCTGGGCAGAGTAAGGGATGTGGGGTCAGTTTTCCCATCATGCACCCAGAAATTTCTGGTGTTGGATGCCTGACTGCGTGCATCTCCTGTCGGGGACAAAGGGCAAGGAGAGTGGAAGGGGTGTCAACAACCTTCCAAGCTGGGAATCCAGAGAAGACAGGGAGACCAGCACTCATTAGATGCTTCAGGGTCAATAGGGGCATTTAGATTCCTGCATTCGAAGGTCGTCCTGGTGCCACGTGGTCTGTCTCCCTTTTATACCGTGTACATTGTGGAAGGCACTTGAAAAGGAAATTAGGCACGTGGAAAAGGCTAGCCTTTGGGTGAAGTGATAAAAGCAGAGCAAGCCCTGGGCAGTCATGGTGCACATGCATGAAGTCCCAGGGGCAGAGGCAGGAGACTCACCCCACTTGAGGACAGCCGGAATACTGCAGAATTTCCAGTCCTATCAGTCTAGGCTACCAGCCAGGCTCTCATGTCACCCGCTCACCCCCCTGTAAAGTGCAAAGCCTCTTGGTAGCAAAGTGACTGATTAGTTCAGGCAAAGCCCCAGGTTGTAGCTGCAGAATCACAAAATAAAAACCAAACCAACCAAAGCAGAGACACCTCTCCCTGGGCTGGGAAAGGAAGTCCTGAAGTAACAGAGTGATGTGGTAACAGCCAGGCAGTCCCAGGCACTCTTGTCTCTATCTCTATAGCCAGTCAGCCAGAGTCAAGTCCCACCTTTTAGGAAAGCTTCAGTCAGACCGTCTCTCCTTGGTACAGGGCCAGAGCCTAGATGCTTTCAGTGTAGGATGTGTACAGACCAGTCCTGGCATAAGCAGGCCTGGCCAGACGCTTAGGTTTTGTTCATTGGGCCAAGCAATCAGGAGGACAGTTTGAGGGTGGAAGCTGCCATATAAAGAAAAGACCCAGATACATATTTATCTCCCTAAAAATGGATTAGGTCATTCTGTTTGGAGTATGGTAGCTCTAAAGATCTTATGGGAGGAGAGAAAAATCTCAGAAACCAAAGACTAATTTCAGGACCTCTGTGAATTCTCTAGGAAAAAAGGTTGCCAGATATCTATGGGACTATAATTCCCAAGGAGTTAAATGTCTTGTGGTAGTTGGCTGGGTATGGTGATGACACAGGCCTGTAAATCCCAGCACCCTGGCAGGCCGACACCTGTGATTTGGAGCTAGGCTAGTGAGTTTCAGGTTGCCCTGTGTGACTGATCTTGTGGCCTGGGGAGAAGCACTCAGAGTCGATTGCAATGGTCTGAGGGGATGCCTTAATGTGTCCCAAATCAGTGGTTATAGTGACACTTGGGTATTTCTGAGCTGGATCCTGAAGGTCTGAGTTTCTACCTTCAGGCCCTAAAGACCTGGTTGGCCACAATGGTTATTTTCTCCTACAGACTCCTGCACAGTCTTCACCCAGCTGCCGTTCCCTACACTGTAGAGGGAGTGTTTCCAAATGGTTTACAGCTATTTCTTTTTCCTTTACTCCCCTGCAGGTTGGAGGGGAGTAACCAGAGTTTCATTGTTCTACCCCCTTTCTGAGTTCATCAAGGAATGAGGCAGCAGAGAAAAGACCCTGGGGAAAACCATACGCTGACTCTTTAGGAGGAAAGCCTCAAAGCCAGTGCCTGGGTCTCCAGCATGCCAGCAAGAATTCTACCACACAGATAACAGCGCAGCCTCAGAACCTGGTTTGAACGTGGTTCAAGGCAGAGGGAGGAGAGCAGCATCCTCTTACTCGTGCATGTACTGCCTTCCTGTTGAGGCTTCTGGGCTGCAAGCCAGGGATAATTCATTCTGTGCCGTCCACCCCAAGCCTGCTGAGGCTGGAAAACATAAACCCACAGAAAACAGAACAGTGGCTGATCTTACCACGGGACTCTGTCCTCCTGGGAAGAAATGTATGATGTGGAGGGGTGGCATCAGTCTGACTCTGGATCCTTTTCTCCAAGGAGGAGCTCTGGAGGCTGGGAAGGGCATGCTAAGGACCCAGACCTGGCTAGATTCTAGAAAGACTGTAGGGGCCAGGTGGTGGTGGTGTACCCCTTTAATCCCAGCACTCAGGAGGCAGACACAGAGGCAGGTGGATCTCTGTAAGTTTGAGGCCAGCCTGGTATACAAAGTGAGTTCCAGGATACATACAGAGAGAAATCTCCAAAACCAAAAAAAAAAAAAAAAAAAAAAAAAAAAAAAGAGGCTGTGGAATATTACCTCAACAGGGTGAAAAGAAATCATTGCTGAGGGATTCCTCAAGACAGGCAAGAAGACAAGAAGACCTTATGAGGAGCCTAGGCCTGACAGTCATCAAGCCCTGGCTAAAGCCAATTGTTAGGTCACCCTACATCTGAGGGAGAAAAGGCACTGCAGCCCACCAGAGACCCTTGATGAACTCTTCTGTAGATGAAGAGACATGGATGTCAACAGCTTTGTAATAACAGCAGCTCTCGCCAGGCTGGGGTGGCGCACATCTCTAATCCCAGCAAGCACTCAGGAGGCAAAGGCAAGGGGATCTCTGCGAGTTCGAGGTTAGCCTGGTCTACAGGGTGAGTTCCAGGACAACTAGGGCTACACAGAGAAACCCAGTCTTGACCTCCCCCCCCCCCAAAAAAAGAGCAAGTTTCAGAACAGTAATGATCTAAGAGACCATGCCCCTTCTGTTAGAGCAAGCTTTGGCCTTTGTATGCAGGAGGAGAGAACAAACTGCACAGGCCCCATCCAGGCCTTGTCCCAAGGGAGGGGGTTTGCATCATCTTCGGAAGGGCCTCAGGTGTCAGTCCTTTCTGTTGGCTCTGCTCTAGACTGCTGTCGGTACTCATAGTGAGTGGGGATATGGGCCTCTATTCAGATGGCAGAACAGAAACAGGAAGCCACTAGACTCTGGTTTTCGGAAGATGAGGAGGGCAAGGAACAGAGAAAAAAAAGGCAGAACTGGATGCCTTTGGGGGTTCTTAAAAGCATCAGGCATTGGGGGGGCAGAAAGCACCCAGTTCCTTGTCACTGATACCTGTGTCCTGATACATCAGGAGGCCCAGAGGCAGAGAGCACTTGTTCAAACTGGACTTCAGAAGCCTCCAGGTCAACCTTCTGAAGCGGAAACGGTTCTGTGCTGTCCACCGGGGCTGTCCTCAGCAGACCTCGCCCCACCCCACCCCCAGCCTATGCCCAAGGAAGAAGAGGGGTAGGGAATCCGTTCAGTTTTGATTTCTGGGCTCCTGTAGTCTGACTTCCAGTGAATTTTGTTCTCCCGGCAAGGGGTGGGGGTAATGTCCCCCCCCAAGGGGCACCACTCAGTGACTCTGAACTCCAAAAGAGGCCTGGACAGCTGATAAACACTCCCACTGCCGGCCCTTCTAGCTGCAGAGATCAAGCCTCACAGAAACTTCCAGGGAATAGCCCTGACACAGCTTGGAAGGTCACAGAGGACAGTAACTATGACATTTGGGAGACTCTTACTAGTTAAAAAGGATGCTCTCTTTGTTCTTACGTTTGACCAAAGAAAAGTTAATTCTTTTCTTTTTCTCTGATAACGCCCCCACCCACCCACCGGCAGGAAGCAGCGGCTCCAGCTCCAGCACCAGGTCTGCGGACTTTCACCCTTTGCCTTTCATCAGGTGCAAGCTCCGCGATCAAGGCTTCGAAGGTGCTGGGGATGGTTCAGGACCGCTGTCCACCGCACCTGGTGGGCCTCGGATCACCCAGGCAGCCCCCACAACAGCCGCCTCCTCTCTCCGGAGCTGGGTTTTCATGCAAAGAAGCGAAGAGAAGCTGTTTCCCAGGGTCCGCGCGATTAGTAGCAGAAACAGTGCTTCAGATCCCATTGAAAACGACCGTCGTGGCTTATCTCCCGTCGGCGCTCCGGGATTCCCAGCCACCCTCTACCACTCCTAGCCAAGGCGGAAGCCGAGCCTGCAGCTTTTGAAGTTAAGAGAATTTCAATCGGCGGCAAGAAGCTGGCGGCACCCGAGCCTATCGCCCCAGCAGGGAGGAAAGAACGACAAATCCGCGGGGCGGCAGGGGAGAGGGATGCTCCGGGACCGGACTCATTTTAGACTGTTGTTGCCCCCTCTTCGTTTTCGAAGGGTTATTCTGCTTCACGCACTATCCGAATTTTCCTGCCTTCTTCCTCTGTGCACTAAACAACCTTCATAATACAACGACAGTGACGATTAAATTTAGCACACTTGCCATGCAGGGGAAAACAAAGACAAAAACCTAAGACAAAACAAACCCGAAAACGTGCCCTACTCCAACACCCTCTTTTCAACTGTCGTTGGAAAAAAAAAACTCACCTCTCTTCTTTTGACGTCGGCCAACTGCTTATTTTAGAAGTGACATTTAGTCGGATATCTTTTTCCTGTAAGCACTGGAGTGGGACGGGAGGGGGGGGACGATAATCAGTAGGGACCTAAAATCTAAACAAACGGAGGCTGCTTTTTAAAAGGTGGCCTGAAGTCTGGAGAGGAATGGAGGTGGGGGTGGGCTGAGGAGGGATGTCCGTGAAGCCCAGATCGGGAGCTTAGAGGAGGCTGCCGCCCCCCTCCTGGGGATGTAAGGGGGAAGCCCTGCTCCATAAGACTGACCCAGGAAGGAGACTAAGTGGCACCCCTTGATCTCACAACCCTGCTCTGCTTTCATCTCCAGGGAAAATACTGAGTAAAACAGGATCAAACATCGAACATTCCCATTGAATGCAAAGCTGGGGGCGGGGCAGGGAAGCCCAGTGTCACTCTAGGGACCAACCTCCCTAGGAGGGGGAGGGCAGTTAGGAGGCAGTGAGAAGGTGGTTTGTTCGTGGGGGGTGGGCAGGGAGAGTGGGTGTCACACCGAGGCAGCACTTGAAGATTTTGGTGCAGCAGCAGCAGCTGCTGCTACATAGTCCTGAGACAGACCCAGACAGTAGAGAGAGCAAGCAAGGTGCTGGGCACACAGGCTCTGGCTGCAGTGAGGAAGGCGGGACAAGCCAGAATTGGTGGCTACTTCCTCATGGCAAAAGGACCCACTATCACCCCTCCCCTCTCCACCCCCCACATAACTACTCTTGACCCCTGAAATATTTCTCTAGATTTCTGGGCTAACAGTGTTCAGCAGATAGTGGCTTGGGGACTCATAGGGAGTGGAAATACCTCCTGGACACTATCCTCCATGGTCCTCTGCCCTTGTCCTCCAGGCAAGGTTAACAAATATTTGCGGCATCATAACAGAAGGGGAGAGCAGGAATGTGTAAGGGGGGGACAAACCGCCCACCCCCAGCCCCAACCTCTTGCTTCTTCCATCGCTTCCTAATCCCAAATGAGAAAGATTGAGGAAAGGAAAGGTGGTGAGAAAATGAGAACAAGGGAGGAGAGAGCTGAGAGAAGTTGGTGAAACTTTCCTAGAAGCCTGGGCTTTGCCTAGAGGCAGAGAGGAGGAGCTTTTTTTTTTCAGCTGGGTGGGCAGGCCGCTGCTCACTGGGGGAAACTGCGGCAGAGGGGCCAGAGAGAGGGAGCTAAACCTAGAAGATGAAAAAGACCCATCCCACCTGCCAGGCTTCCAAAGGAGAGTCTATTCCCTCTCCAGAACAGCAAGTCCCAGAATTCCACAGCCCAGTTGCTGATCACCTGGTTTTTCAAGACATTTCAACGACTTTCTCTTCTATCCTCAAGTTTTGGATATAGAACATCTCTTCTTGTCAGAGCCCTAGAGAGGACCCTACAAGTTCAAACCCTGCTGATGCCATTTGTCACACTCCCCACTCTATCCACAGATGCCCCAAAACCTCCAGTAAAGGCCAGCACCCTCTCCTACCTGATAGCCTTCAGTGCCACCAGAGTAGGGCCCCTGGTTGCCAGCGCCTCTCCCTTAAGAACAAGCCATTTGTTGCGGAATTCGTTGCCTCTGAACAAATATTTAAAAGACACCGTAGAAAAAGAAAGACCACTCAGACCCCTTCCCCATCCGACATACCTGAAATAGCCTGGAGACCGCAGGAACCAAAAGATGTTTTCTTCTGTGAATAGCCAACGCCAAGTCAAGTCATGCAGTCTAGCTAGGGAGAGAAAATTAACAACAAAAACAACGAAATCACCGAACACTTCAAATTTTAGCCAGATTATCTGGGGGGGGGGGATTTTCTTCTTCTTAAATCCTGGAATACCGAGTCAGCACCCAAGGCCAGCTTTTTAAGAGGGGAAAAAGATTATCTCTTGGTTCTTGGGTAAGAAAAATAAACTTTGGTTCTTAGAAAAGAGACAGGTGGGGTTGGGGAGACGAGGGAGGAAAGGGTACCGCAAACTCTCCAGACAACCTGAGGGGGGGTTACAGTTTTCAGTAGCTTGTAAAAAATTTTTTGAAGCCGGCTGAAGGACAGGCGGTTGCATTAATGCTCAGAGAACCCGGGTTTGTAAGCAGCGTCTAAAAAGCAGCTACGAATGTTTCCATTAGTATTAGATCGAAACACCAAGTTAAGAGAATAGAAGTCAAAACAACAAAAAAATTTCAAAAGCGTTCTCAATTACCGAGTCCCGCAGCCCCTGTGGAACTCGCTGCGTGCCTTAAGCGCTCCCTTTTCTGTCTGCGGAATTCCATTTGCATCCTCTCTGCCTGGGTGTCTCCCTTTCTCAGTGTGTGTGTCTCTCTGTTTTCACACTCTCCTCCCCATTCGAGCGAGGCCCACACCTGGCGCATCACTGCCGAGCCATTAGCTGCGGGTCTCCTTTCATCTTCGCTGTGGCAGACGTTTCTATTTATCCACTTGCGTTCGCCGAGTGGCGTCACCAGCGGTACTGTAATGACGATTGCAGCAGGAGAATGACAGCTTAGAAAGAAGAGGGCAATGGGGCTTCCTCCCAGAGGCGGTGCGGCACAGAGGAGCGCTCGCATCACAAGGTGACCCTAGCTCCCCACTGCCATCTCCGCGGTCGCCAAAGACACCGCGCTGGGGCTACTTGGCACCCGCCTAGTCTCCTGGCCTCCTTAACTCCTTTTCTCAGCCAAGATCCCAGGGAGCCTGGGGTTAGGAGCTTACTTGGGGGCCATCCCCCTCCCCCCTCCGGAGAGCCCGGGGATGGAGAGCCGAAAGGACATGGTTTTGTTTCTGGATGGGGGTCAGCTTGGCACTCTGGTTGGTAAAAGGGTCTCTAATTTGTCCGAAGCCGTGAGCAGCCCACTGCCTGAACCGCCAGAGAAGATGGTGCCCCACGGTTGCCTGAGCCCGCGAGCCGGCCCTCCGTCTGCCCGGGAGCGTGGCGGGGGAGGCCCGGAGGAGGAGCCGGTCGATGGACTAGCAGGCGGTGCTGCAGGGCTGGCCGCCGAGCCACGGTCTTCCGGAGCCGCGGTGCTTGGCCCGGGACCCCCAGTCTCCTCCGCGGACAGCCTTTCTGGCCAAGGGCAACCCAGTAGCTCAGACACCGAATCGGATTTCTATGAAGAAATCGAGGTGAGCTGCACCCCGGACTGCGCCAACGGGAACGCCGAGTACCAGCACAGCAAAGGTAGCCACCTTGCCCCTCCGCTCCCCGGTCCACGCACTGCGCCCACACTTTACTTCATCTCAGGGCAGGTGGAAGATACTCCTTTCCCTTGGGGCAGGATGGCTGGGGTGGGAGTGGGGGGGACACCTGAACAACTCTTATGCTTTCTGCACCTTGGTGTGTGTAGGGTCTCTTGTGTTATCGTATTGGTGGGACTCAGAGTGACAGCTCTCAGGAATATTAGGGTGGTTGACACAAGTCTTGGCTTGAGGGATCCAAAACGCAACCCAACCCCCCACCCCAGCTTTTTGTAGGAATGATTTTGCTGAGCAGGGAAGACACCTTGCATCGGGTAAGGCAAGATCAAACGCTAGTCTGGGCAGTTTGTGACTGGAGGGGTGCAAGGCGCATGGAGGCGCGGAAGCCAAGAGTATATAAAGGACCGTAAAATCGTGGCGGACTCTGGTCTCCAGAGTGTTGCAGCCCTCCGACCAGTTTGCACGTCGGTCAGAGGTCCAAATTACCTTGTCACTTCCCGGGCTGGCGGCGCCAGGTCGGAAATGGTCCCAATGGTCTAATTGCCTTTGGTCTCCGGTTGCATTTGAAAAGGCGGGGATTGGGCCCTCCCCTCCCCCTTTCCCTCGGTCTCACTTCTCCACCCAAAGGAAAAGCAGCTGCAGGGGGCTAGAGCCCCACCCTTCTCTGGGGTGGGTCTAAGGGGTTGATACTTTAACTACAGAAACCTTCTCACCAGGAGCTAATGGGAGTGGGGGTGGATAGCTCAGAAGGGAGCCTCTCTCTTACACCAACAACTTCTACTAGGGATGAAAAGCTGGGAACAGGAGCCCATCAGCAGACACACCTCCACAAAGCCGTGAGGAATGGGTGGGAAAGGCTTGCACCTACTTTTAGGCCAACACGGCCTTGTTGACTACCAACTTCCTTCTCCGACCATCACGTCACCAGCGTAACCTAGATTCTCTACTGTACCCTGTCCTCACAACCTGCACTCAAATCTACCCTTCCTGCAATGTATGCAACCCACCATTCTCACACCTGTGCAGGAATTCTGGCACACACCCAAGAGCGCTCAATGCATGCCCAACCATCCACAATCTCCTAACCAACCTCAAGAGTTCATAGTGTTCCAGCACCATCCTTGGCCATCCCTGCCAACTGGAGCAGAGAGCCCAGGGATTATGCCCTTTGCTGTACCCAGGGGCAAGAGAAGGGGAAAGGAGATTGGAAGCGGTTAGACCCAGCATGCCTCAGGTCCAGGTCTTCCAAACAGCCACTTTAAAGTTGCCCCAAACCCTCTATTCCAATCATTCAAGACCTTCTGCCTATGCTTCCAGAGTCCGCCCCCCCCCCCCCCCCCCCATCAGTGACTTAAGGTAGCTGAAGGGTTCTCCTAATGGCTCTCCTTCAGCCTGAAGTCCCTATTGTTTGTGTTGTGTCTCTGTGTATGCACCTGTGTGCTCTGGGCTCCTGTGCAGGGTCGGGTTCTGATGCACTTGGCGGCAGTCCTAACAGTGGCAGCGAGGTCCCCAAAAGCAGCGGTGGCAGCGGCAGTAGCGGCTCACAAGGCACCCTGGCCTGCAGCGCCAGTGACCAGATGCGCCGATACCGCACTGCCTTCACCCGGGAGCAGATTGCACGGCTGGAGAAAGAATTCTACAGGGAGAACTATGTATCAAGGCCGAGGAGATGCGAGTTGGCAGCAGCCCTAAACCTTCCTGAAACTACCATCAAGGTATGCTGGTCTAGGACGCTCGAGGCGGGCATAAAACAGGGTTAGTAGATAGGAAATGGCAATCACTTATCTCCTGAATTGCAGTCGGGGAGTCTAGGCCTGGATTTTTCCAATCCGGGCCGTGCAGAATTGCCCTTTGACGGTCCCTAGGCCGCCTCTGCTGCCACGAGGTCACTCTGTCCTTTTCCTAGGCAAATAGTCTACCGAGGCAGGTGACTTAGAGGAAGTGTCTCAAAGGACAGGGAGGAAATGGGACATAAATCTGGGGGAAATGCCTTTTACCTCCTCAGACCAATCGAGGCAGGTCCTGCGATTTGCACCTTCACTCGCAGTGGGGTAGGCGAGCAGGTCCCTAATTCTCCTTCCTACGGTTTCAATCTGGGATGGCTGTGGGTGACCTGCTCTTGTTCAGGCGGAGTTGGCTTTGGCTCTTTTCCGCCCTATAGGTATTGCTTCCCGGTGCTCATCCCGAGTTGGGTCTGGGTCTCTTGCAGTCATCCAACACCCCCCTCCTGTGTCCCCAGGTGTGGTTTCAGAACCGACGCATGAAGGACAAGCGTCAGCGGCTGGCCATGACGTGGCCGCACCCGGCCGACCCCGCCTTCTACACGTACATGATGAGCCACGCGGCGGCCGCGGGCGGCCTGCCCTATCCCTTCCCGTCGCACCTGCCCCTGCCCTACTACTCGCCCGTGGGTTTGGGTGCAGCGTCCGCGGCCTCGGCTGGCGCTTCGCCCTTCAGCAGCCCGCTGCGTCCGCTTGACACGTTCCGCGTGCTGTCGCAGCCCTACCCGCGACCCGAACTGCTGTGCGCCTTCCGCCACCCACCGCTCTACCCCGGCCCGGCGCACGGACTGGGCGCCTCGGCCGGCGGCCCCTGCTCCTGCCTTGCCTGCCACAGCAGCCCGGCCAATGGGCTGGCACCTCGGGCCGCTGCAGCCTCGGACTTCACTTGTGCCTCCACCTCCCGTTCGGACTCCTTCCTCACGTTCGCCCCCTCCGTGCTCAGCAAGGCCTCCTCCGTGTCATTGGACCAGAGAGAGGAGGTGCCCCTCACAAGATAAGGGGTCGCCCTCGGGCTGCTGGCAGCAGGACGCCATGGGGTGGGGGGCCCTTCCGGACTCCTCCACCGTCCCACCTACCAACCCTCTTCCCAAATGCAGAGGGGAGAAAGGAGAGGGCACCACAAAGAACTCAGTCTAGAGAATCCAGGAGCCCCGGAAGTGGCAGTGGCCATCTACTTGGGAGCGGGAATGGGGTGGGAAAGCAGAGGTTGTGGGAGCTTCCTCTGGGGAGGCCCGTCTTTGCCATTCTCCACCAAAACCACGGCGCTATCAGAGGTGGAGGCCTTGGTTCAACAGCCAAACAAAATTCAGCAGCAACAACTCACCCCCACGCCCCTCATACCCTGTACCTGGGCCCCCACTCTCCTGTCAAGGGCAAGCATTGAAAAGGGAAATCGCGGTCTCTTGGAACAAAATGCTGTGTATGCAGAGCAGGTAAAGATTAATCTTCAGGAGCTTTTCCAAAGCGTGGCAGGGGGCTTGTTGATGGCAACATACCAGCCATTTAGGGGAGAGATGATTTACTGCTAGGGAGAATTTTGCCCCTTGGCAAGGAACCTGGGGCTGATTCACCTTCTTGGAGCCCAGCATCTTTCTGATCTAGCCTCTGCCAGCCCCTGACCTCTTTCAGTATTCCTGCCTTTGTGATGTCTCTCAACTTGCCACACCAGCCTTCTCCCTTTCTGTTTCAGGTTGCAGGGAAGCTACAGGGGCTCCAGGGTCCCTAGGAGACCAACCTCTTCTCCCTTAACCCAGCACACACCCCGATTAGCAAGTCATGTGTGAGGAGGGTTGAATGTTGAATGTATGTATAATAATGATCGGCACTCTGCTGGGCCACCAAGCCCAGAGCAGAGCTGTTCTAACAAGGCACCCTGGGAAGATCTTAGGGAACGGAGACTTACATCCTCTCCTTGTCTCCCCACACTGCACATTGCAGACAAGGCCTTGGCTTTCACCTGCCTGTAGAAACCTTCAGCACTCTGGAGGACCCTGTCTCTACCCTTCACTGGGTTTATTAGGGAGCCGCACATGGACTCCTGTACTCTTCCTTTAGCCAGCATTTGAGGAAAAGGACAATTTTAATCACCCAATGCAAGCTTCACCCCACTGGGAGGGAGTGGTTCTTCCTGTAGGGCATGAATTTGGTTTGGTCTGGGGTTTTCCTTTGCAGCCCAAAGAATTTGCTGTTATGATTTGTTAACCATATTGCAATAAAAGCTGAACACGATTCTTACTTTAGCATTTAAACATTTTTTTTTGCAATCAGGGAGCATGTTTACTATTTTTGAATTTCCAATTTAGCTACCATGGACATGGATAGAAAAAGATGG